TGTGGATGGGGGCAGAAAAAGGGTCCGGAGTGGGGTTGGCAGCTCCCCTGACCGCAGGCTCTGTCTGTCCCCCGTCCCCATGCCTGTCCACCCGCTCTGTGCGGGGTCCCGCAGGTTTCAGCGTGCCCTGGCTCTGTCCCACTGCAGGGCACAGTCTCCTCCAGCAGCAGAGGAAGGATGGGGAGCCCGGCAGGACGTACCCCGATCCAGAGCTCACAGCAATCCCGGAGAGCCCAGAGGCGCCGGTGGGGACCCCCCCCCCCCCCCCCCCGCGAGCCTGCGGTGACCCCGCTGTCCCCAAGGGGAGCGCTGCTGGGAGGATGCTGGTGGGACACGCGGCCGGGACCGACGGTCAGAAATAGCTGTGCACCACCTCGGACCCTGCCAAAGGGACGCTGGCAACGACCCGGGGAGGCGGAGGGGACACCGTCACCTCCCTGCCCAGGTCCCCATCCCTCGGGCTTGCCGGCCTGCGGGGTGGGAGGAAGCAGAGATCCTTGGAGATTTTTACAGTTTACAAGAGTTTATTCAACTGGTTTCTGACTTTAGTTCTACCGAGTGGGTGCTGAACAGTTACAAGCTCCTTCGGGTTCAATTACAGCCAATCTAACGAAACAAACAAATGAAGAGGAAAAAAAAAAAAAAAGGAAAAAAAAAAAGAAACAACTTGGAAAAACAATAAGAAAATCCACAACTTTTTCACGTCATTAAATATATTCATATATAATAACCATAATATATTAGTATGCATTGTAAAGAAACATCGCCCAAAGCAGTATGCAATGGTCATAACTAAACAACATTTACAGTTCAAGATATTAACAGAAATAATAAAAAAAAAAACAAACAAACCCCAAAACAAACACAGGTTTTGTGAGGGGAGAGGAGGCGGGTGTGCAGGGAGAGGGCACGGACACGACGAAACGAACAGAAACGAGACGAAACGACTTTTGTTGGGTGCTACCGTCGAGTGATGATTGTTTTGGCATTTCAGCTGCTCTCTGAAGCCAGGCTGAATGCACCGTGGCCCCTTCCCCGGCCACCCCGGCCACCCCCCCGAGGACCTCGGTCCTGTCCCCGGGGGCGATGGGTGGGCGCTTGGGTTCCTCGCTGGTTGTAATGTGGCTGGTACCTCAAGAGAGCTGCACCCCCGGCCACGGAGGTTGATGTTTAGGAGTGACATCTTGTCCCTCTTTGGGTGACGGGACAGAGGTCTCCCCCCGGGAGATGTCCTGGAGCAGGGGTGGCTGCAGGGAAGAGTTGCATCCCCTGACACCCCGAAAATGGGGCTGCTCTACTTTCCCCGGAGGAGGAGGGCTGTGTACCAGTTACACCAGCTGCTCCTGCAGGTCGTGGTTACTGGGAGTGCTCGAGGGGCACTGGGGGACCGTGGACAGAGCAGAGGGGCTTCTCTAGTCTGGTCAGAAAGCACAAAACTCCAACAGGGATCAAGGGACAGGGTCCTGGTGGGACAGGGATGGGGACTTTGCTTCTGCGGGTCGCTCTGGCTGCGGTGGGCTCCAAGTTGTTTCACATCTTGTGCAAACTCCGTTTCTTTCTGATTTCCTGGATTGTGCTGGTTCCTGGAGGGGTCCGGCCATGGAATGGGGTGGGCGGCGTTTCTTCTGTGGCCTCCCGACCTGCTGGGATTGCGGAAGGGGCCGGGGCTTGTCCCTGGGGGCGTTTGGGGGGTGTCAAGGCTGTGCTGGTGACAACGGCTGCGCTTGCCAAGCTTGGAAAATGGGAGTGAGCATTGGGTGTCCAGGAGTGCTCAGTGGGCAGCTCCCGAGTCCCCACGTCCCCTGGCCTTGCCTTCGTGCGCTGGCTTTGGGTTGGATCCGGTTGCTTTTAGGCCATTCAAAGGTCTCCTGCGGTTCAAGGGCATCCCGGCTGACCGAGAACAAGCTGTCCCCAGCCGGTGCGGGGTGTCCCTGGCATCAGTTGATGCTAGCTGCAGGAGAGCATCCAAGCCCCACTTTGGGGTTTTAAGCCTCCATTTAGACACTTGAGACCAGATTTTATCCTTCAAAACTTGGTGGCTTGGGTTCCCTTGACTGCAAAACTGTTGGCTCGCCTTGAGCTCTGAAGTAAGGAAAACCAGGTCTGCTCTGGGTAAGGGGAGAAAACACGGACTTTGGGGTTGCTTGATGTCCAGGGTGGGATTTCTCTCCTAATACCCAAAGTAATTTTGGAGGGACCTTGCGGTTGCGGGGGGAGGCTCAGCAGAGCTCGCTCCCTCTGGGTGGTGCCGCCAGCAGCCCGGCGCTGGCCGGTGCTTCCCTGGGAGCCCTCCACTTTACACCTATTTACATGGCTGCCTCGCTTTATGGTGGTTTATGTCATTATATAAATATTGTCAATTGCTATAAAACAAGGCAAAACCACTGGAAAATGTCATAAAATAGATGTTTCCAAGTTTCCTAAAAGGAAAAATATCAGGGAGGTTTTGCTTTTTGTAGCAACTAATATTTGCTTCTCCTCCAGGTACCCGTCCTGCCCTCCCTGCCTTTCCTTTCCGCCCTGGCTGTTGCCTGTCTCCATCGTTTAGGTGAACTCAGATATCCCCGTTCCTCGTGGGGCGGTGTGGCAGGGGAGCAGCCTGGCAAGGGGACGCAACGGCTGGGTGACCAACAACTCAACAGCCAGTCCTGCCCATACAGTGCCCTGGGGAAGGATGCTCCAGCCCTCAGGCTGGGGCATGGGGTGTGAGACGGAGGGGAGGCAGCCGCTACCTTGCTTAGTGCACTAGCAATTAGAGACTGAGAATTTTAGGTTTGCTGTTTTTCACCCCCAGCAGAAGGAGGAGAGCAATCTGGGGAGCTCCAGGTGGGTCACAGCTTGCTCATCCAGTCCCTGGCTGAGACCCCTTCCCTTGGAGAAGGTCTCTGCCCTGCGTCGGCTGTAACTCGGCCAAGCCTTAGAGCTCTGCGCTGGCCCCGCTGCCCGTGGGGACAGTCGCTTGGCACCCGCTGTCCCACCTCCTGTGTCTCCCAAGGGGACTGGCCACCTCATGCAGGGATGCCGGGGAGCTCCAGCTCCAGAGGGAGCGAGGGCAGAGCTGGTGTAGGTTCGGGAGAGCTGGCTGAATTTGGGAGTGAAACCACTGCCAGCCAGGACCTCGGTGTCAGCTGCATGGATTTTCTATCATGTGAGGGATCATCAGACTGCTGATGGAGGCAGAGGGGACCAAGCCCATGAAGGAGGTCTCAGGGGTGGAGGCTCAGGGACTGCGAGGGGTGAGATCTTCCAGGGGACCTATAGGAACTGGATGCCAACTTATTTTTTTGTAAAGTCTGGGTGTTTCCTTGGGGATCCTGGTTATTAACTCCTCAACTGTGAATCGGTGGCTGGGAGGGGGCCAGGGCATCCCGTGGGCTCATGCTCCTTCGGTGTGGTGGGGGGCATCACTCCTCGGGGTGTGGGGCCGGAGCAAGGAGTCGCTCCCCGAGTTATGCCTATGTCGAAGTCGCCCAGTAACGTGGTCTCCTCTTTGCTGTGCCTAACCTGGGATCAGCACATCGCCATGGCTGGAGACTTTGGCTGCTCCTAGGTACTGTACAGCGGGTCACGGTTACAGCTATCGGATACCAAAGACTCTTCAAATAACCCATATTAGTCGATCCTCAGATCTGTCCTCAGTGATAAGTCTCTGTTTAGTTTCCTCTATGATAACACTCTCATTCAACCTAAGCTGAGAATACGTATTTTTGGAGATGGGGGGTTAATTTCCAGCATTGCCGTTGATTAGTTCCTTACAGGTTTGATGTTCCCGTGCCATGCTTTGGAAGCAGCAGATGTTAGCAGCTGGAAGGCAGTTCGGTGTCTCTGATTTCTTCAGCCAACAGGGCAGAAAGAAGCTGGGGGGCACCGGGTGCCACACGCCTGCACCCACCCTCCTCTTGTTTTATATCCACGTATGTGATTTTTTTTTTTTTTTGCGTTTTGTTTTGTTTTCTCCCGGAATACGAGGTACAAAC